AATTATATATTTAACACCGGCCTTATCTGAGTTCAAATGTTCCAACATTTGTATAAAAGCTGAAGATTCTTTTTCAAAAACACCGAGTGCACTGATTGAGAGATTAATGAACTTTACCGGATGGAATTTTTTCTTTTGTTCTACGATCATCTCTTTATATTTTGAGTATTTGCGCTGTACATTATTCCTTAGGTTAGTCTCATATCCAACGGTTAGTTCGAGTACATACAGACAATTGTCTTTGGTCAAAATTAGTAGATCAGGACGATAGTCATCACCAGTAATAATAGAGGGATTAGAGAATGATGGTAAAAACTACTAAAAATTAACTAACGAGAAAAAAATAATAATAATGATAATAATAATAATAATAATAGAGTTGTTTAACAACGAGAAAGATTTACACTGGATAAGTAGAGAAATGCAAAAGACTGTATTATGGGAAAGCGAGACAATTATGAAAAAAATATTATCTGGACTGTTGACATGAGGTGTCTTCGGACAATAGCTGACAAACGTTGATTGCTATATAATTCGCCTTAAAGTAAGAAGGGCATTGGCGAATGTTACAATATGCTTTTAGAATTTTATTACGGTGTTATGCATTGTATAATTTAGTGGAGGCATCATTGTATTGTTGGTTAATTCTACAAATAATAATAATAATGCTTTTAAATTTTTTTAAATTTAATTTTAATGCTTTCAATTTTCGGAGTATCTATTGTTTTGTATTGTATATAATAGCTGGTTGCAATTTTTAGTAGTTTTTCTCGTTAAATCTATTTCTAGGTAGTATGGTGTAATAATTGCAGCCTTACAAGACGCTTCAATTAATACAAATATTACTTTTAATTATATGATATAAATATAATCTCGCGCATGTAGTATTTCTGAGCTGCAATTAAGGAATTGGATTTTGAAAAAATTATATTCGATATCTAGCTTTGGCGCTTTATGAACATTTATCATGACAATATTTAAGCTCCGTTAATAGTGTCAATTAAATTTCGAAACGATATACATTCGGCAGCGCACTGTCATCAGAACAAGCGCCTTTCACCTCCGAAGTTTGTGGGTTTGATTCTCGCTACGGACTCATGTGAAAAGAGTCAGTCAACGCTCTGCCGAAAGTCGTGGGTTTTCTCCGGGTGCTCTGGTTTCCTCCCACAGGGAAAGTTGACATGAGGGTGGGTTAGGATAAACACTGTTGAGAAAGTAATATCACAATTGTTGTAAAGATAAAATAATCTAGGCTAAGTATGTAATTAGGTAAGCGTGTAATATTGAAGTCATGATAATAAAGCGCGTTTGAAATTAGCCATTCCGAAGTTGATGACAGGACTGGGGACGAGTGTTAAAAAGTGCCCAAATTAAGAAATGAACCAAATCACTAAATAGACCACCTCAAAATTAGTAAGTATACAAAGTTTGAAGACGTTTACATGAATACTCTTCGAATAATAAGCCTTCGAAATTGTGAAATTACTGATTAAAGATTGTGTTTGGGACGCGCGTCCCAAAAACAAAAATTACAATACATTTCATAGCTTATTATTAGCATGACAAAATTACTGGATGCTGATTGGTTGAGAGGAGTACAATTATTTCATTAATTGTACTGCAGTACAATTAATGATTTTCCCAAAACAAACAAAATGGCGGAAACGTATTTTAAACTCATGAGCGTGAAATGAAATTGCCGTGGAGGAACTAGATGAAAATACGAACAAAATCACCAAATTTTGCTTTAACAAAAGAACTAAATGAAAATACAAACAAAAGCACCAAATTTTGGTTGAAAGTCTGGCGGGACTGGGCTTTGGCGAGAGAATATGATGCTGACATTGAGAAGTACGTATCCAATTTTGTCATGCTAATAATAAACAAGTAATCATGCAATGTTGCTCGTACAATTAGGGATTAATGGTACTCGTGATGTTTGGAAATTTGCCAAATTGGACTCGCCCCGGCACTCGTACTATTAATCCCTAATTGTACTCGCCATCGCATGATTACCTATACAAATATCGCGATTTTCGAAAGCCTATTATTCGAAGGATATTCATGTAAACGTCTTCAAACTTTGTATACTTACTAATTTTGAGGTGGTCTTTTTAGTGATTTGATTCATTTCTTAATTTGGGCACTTTTTAACATTCGTGCCCAGTCCACTCATCAACTTCGGAATGGCTAATCGTTTCACGTTCAGCAAAATAATTAAATAGGTCAACATTAACGTCAACCTCAATAATTTGTGCTCTTTTAATAATACTTAGAATTAAGGCAATTGTTTGGTTCATTTTTCGTCTGCTAAACTAAACGAAACACTGGCAACATAGTTTAGGCTAGTGCGTGACACAGGCTGCAACATTTGCATGATGCTAAGATACGAAAAAGATGACCATATTTCCTTTGTTTCATTAACGTTAGTCTAGTTTTATTCATTTTTGTCATAAAATATCACTTTGTGGAAGTAATTTTACACCATATTAAATTTGTTGTGATAACAATGGCGTCATGAATATATACATTACTTTGATGTGGAAAACCCTTTATAAATTAAATTCAGAGCCGTTCCTAGACGCGATAACTGGGGGGCGGGTGTATATTAATATATTCGTGTTCTGCCCGACGGATTTCTTTTGAAAGCGATTGTCCCCCTCCCCCAAATTATCGCGTCTAGTTACGGCGCTGATTAAATTGTGTCTTTGGGAGAAGTACATTACACTATCACACGTGGATCAACGCATACTTTGGTTAAAAGAAACTTTTTACACTGCAAAGCATTATTGCGAGGTTCATGAATTGCTGGCTCGTGTTCTTGTTTTGTCTTACACCACAACACGCAGGGCCGTAACTAGACGCGATAAAGGGGCATATTCATATATTCGTGTTCTGCCCTACTGATTTCTTTGAAAGCGATTGTTTTACGGCATGTGAACATGAATATGCACCCCTTCCCCTCTCGCGGGGGGGGGGGGGGGGGTGCATATTCATATATTCGTGTTCTGCCCTACTGATTTCTTTTGAAAGCGATTGTTAGCCTTGATTTTTGTTAGCCTTGATTTTAATTTTTTTATAAAAGTCATGCATGCTGTTTGGCTGTTATCGGTTGAGGAACATTTGGAAAAATACTCCTTGTGTAATGTTAACCCTCTGTAAATAATGTTTTCATAGCAATAATAATATCTATTATAATATTTTTTTCTGATTTGGCTGACAGCAACGGCAAAATCTCATATCAATTCAATAGCTGACCAAATATGACATCGCGGCGCCAATGATGTGCATGCTATTATGGCGCAATATGAAGATTATCGCACGATGCATGACGCAATGTTATTGATGCAATATGGAAAAACACGAGTTTAAATACCCATGGTTTGTTTTCATCATCTGTAGTTTTATAAAAGTAGTAAAAAATATCCCCACATATTGTTTTATACAGCTATTTCAAATAAGGTTGTCCACGAGCAAAGCGGAAAAGTCGAATACGAGCGCGAAAGGCTGCTGGGAATCGCTAACAAATTAATGAATTTTCAAAGCGGTTCCCAGCAGCCTTTCGCGCTCGTATTCGACTTTTCCTCTTTGCTCGTCGACAACCTTAATTGAAATAGCTGTATACAAAAAGTCGAGTGCTTATAATTTTTTGCCAATTTTTGGTCATTCGTATTTTTTTCAAAACGATTTCTATTCCCATAATCACAACAATGACAACTACTAAGCCAGTCTACATAAGGAGCATTTTTAAAACAGTTTTCTTGGTAAAGGTTTGTCAGGAGGACTAGGTATGTCCATGGAAGGTTTCTTTAGAGGTGAAATTGTCGCATATTTTGAGAGTTCCACTAGGTCGTTGCAATATTGTTCATCGATAATACTTAAAATATCATAAGAGTACTCGGTATCTTGGACATGCTGTGTTGTATCTGATTTTTGGTTTGTAGTATACTCATCACCAAGAGTTCCGTTGTATGGAATAACATTTTCCTACAAAAATACATCGAGGATGACTTTCCATATATGATCACTTTTCCCACCTTGGCAAACATGGCTAGGAAACAATGTTTCCTGGTTTGCCCACCTTTGGGAAACATGGCTTGGAAACAATGTTTCCTGATTTGTCCACCTTCGGGAAACATGGCTAGGAAACAATGTTTCCTGGTTTGTCCACCTTTGGGAAACATGGCTAAGACACAATGTTTCCTGGTTTGTCCACCTTTGGGAAACATGGCTAGGAAACAATGTTTCCTGGTTTGTCCATCTTTGGGAAACATGGCTAGGAAACAATGTTTCCTGGTTTGTCCACCTTTGGGAAACATAGCTAAGACACAATGTTTCCTGGTTTGTCCACCTTTGGGAAACATGGCTAAGAAACAATGTTTCCTGGTTTGTCCACCTTTGGGAAACATGGCTTGGAAACAATGTTTCCTGGTTTGTCCACCTTTGGGAAACATAGCTAAGACACAATGTTTCCTGGTTTGTCTACCTTTGGGAAAACATGGCTAGGAAACAATGTTTCCTGGTTTGTCTACCTTGGGAAAACATGACTAGGAAACAATGTTTCCTGGTTTGTCTACCTTGGGAAACATGGCTAGGAAACAATGTTTCCTGGTTTGCCCACCTTCGGGAAACATGGCTAGGAAACAATGTTTCCTGGTTTGTCCACGTTTGGGAAACATGGCTAGGAAACAATGTTTCCTGGTTTGTCCACGTTTGGGAAACATGGCTATAGGAAACAATGTTTCCTGGTTTGTCCACCTTTGGGAAACATGGCTAGGAAACAATGTTTCCTGATTTGTCCACCTTTGGGAAACATGGCTAGGAAACAATGTTTCCTGATTTGTCCACCTTTGGGAAACATGGCTAGGAAACAATGTGTCCACCTTTGGGAAACATGGCTAGGAAACAATGTTTCCTGATTTGTCCACCTTTGGAAAGCATGCATCGACGTTTCCAATTCCGTAGAAATGTTTGCTAGTTTCCTGCGCAACTTTATAAAAAGAAGTTGCATTTATAAAGAGATAGTGAGCAAAAATATTTCCAGTACCTGTGCGGAATGTTTACTACAATTACCATCATTTTCCTGACAAAAATCTTCAGTCGATTTTCCAACATCGCGTGACATACAGCCAATTCGTCTGATGGATGATGGGAAAAGTTTCTTTCCTGCAATTGGAATTTTACCAATTCGAACTAGAAACATTAAAGAATTAGTGTTAGGCTTTTGTTAGTGGATGTCTGTGAAAGCAATCACGTTCAATATAAAATTTTTTTTCACATGTTTCTGCTGTAAATGAGTTTAATTAAATTAAACTAATTCATTTACTTTACACGAGCGAAGCGAGGTGAGTTCGGAAACTTCCAGCCACCCGAGGTGCGTCCAATCTCGGACTCACCGAACCTGCAAGTATGTTTGGTTTTTATCACATGCCATTTCGGTAAAATACTAAAAAGTACTGAAGAATTTTATACGCATTTTACTTTTTAGTATACAGTAATTTCGTGTTTGGATAACGAACATTTTAGCCGCCAACATAGTACGCAAACAAACAAACTTAGGCTTATATTAAAGCTAAAAAATTCTCCACAATATTCCCTTATTCTTGAAAAGAGAAAATGAACACATTCTGCGAAAACAATGCCAAGATTTATGTAAACCTGCCCGTGCCGAACAAATTTCGGCGGCCATCTTTCTTCTCTTCCACTTTGAATACAGAATATTCCATTTTCATCAAACAAAATAAAAAATATAATAATTATAATACAATTAAAAACAGTTAATTTATTTTTTATTTAAATCTTCGTCTGAAATTTGTTCAAATCGCTTCATAATGGCCGCCGCGGAAACATCAATCTCGAACCCACCTCCTAGACATACGTCAGCAGGTGGGTTCGAGATTGAACGCACCTCCTCTGATACAGTCATGACATAACAAGGATGTTACAAAGTTGACGACACAAGGTTGTAACAATATTGTTATATCACGACTGCATCGGACTTGTTGAAACAACCTTGCAACAAGTCTGATAATATAAACAAGGTTGTTACAAGTTGTTAACAGCTTGTTCCAAACTTCGTGACAACTTGGGACAAGCAGTATGAACACAACCTGTTAACAGCTTGTTGGCAGACTTGCTACAAGATGTGAGATTTTTGCGTGTGTACAAGTCGGTTAATGCCATCAAGCTTGTTACAAGTTGTTAACAGCTTGTCCCAAACTTATTATCAAACTTGTCCCAAACTTATTATCAAACTTGTAGAAAGGTTGTGCCAACAGGTCCGATACGGTGATATAACAATGTTGTTACAACCTTGTGTCGCCTACATTGTTACATTCTTGTTATATCATGACTGTATAAGACTTGTTAGAACAACCTTGTAAGAAGTCTGATAATGCCATCAAGCTTGTTACAACTTGTTAACAGCTTCTAACAACCTTGTTGATATCATCAAACTTGAAACAAGATTGGGAAATAAATGAAACAAGAAATAAATGAAACAAGATTGTTGCAACAAGTCTCCTACAGTCATGATATTACAATATTGTTACAACCTTGTGCCGTCAACCTTGTAACATTCTTGTTATATCATCACCATATCAGACTTGTTAGAACAACCTTGCGCAAGTATGATGATGCCATCAAGCTTGTTACAAGTTAACAGCCTGTTTCAAACTTGTTGATCTTGTCAAACTTGTTGCAAGGTTGCTCCAACAAGTCCGATACAATGACGATATTACAATATTGTTACAACCTTGTGCCGTCAACCTTGTAACATTCTTGTTATATCATCACCGTACCAGACTTGTTAAAACAACCTTGTACAAGTTTGATAATGGCATTAAGCTTGTTACAAGTTGTTAACAGTCAGAATATCCGTGATGCATCATCTGTTTATTGTTTTCAATCTAAATTGAAGAATTATCTGTTTTCTCTTTAATTGAACAGTTTTTCAGTTAATACTTATACTAATAATCTGTTTAAGTTTTGTATTCTTATTGAGTATTTTATTGATAGCTATCAATCTATCTATCTTTTTTTATTCTTAATTTGACAATTTCTAATTAATAACTCCTCCATTTGTTAGATTTTGTAACAACTAAATGAATATTGTAATTAATTGTTAATAATGTATTATGAATCGATCTTAAATGGAAAACTAATACGGAATATATTACAAAGAAAGCGGCCAAGCGTCTGTATTTATTAAAGATCTTGAAGAGTTATGGTGCCCCATGGATGATTTGTTAGCATTTTACTGTTCAGTAATTCGTCCTATTTTAGAATATGGTGCAGAGATTTGGAACGGAGGTCTAACCCAAGGGCAGAAAAAGAGCATTGAACGAATTCAAAAACGAGTACTTAGAATAATTACCCAAACCTAGACTACGACCAAGCAATAACTGAGACAAAATTACAAACTTTGGAAGAACGTAGGGACGAATTATGTGTATCTCTAATTAAAAAAATGCTGGAACCAAAGCATAAACTTCATAGCCTCTTACCAAAGAAACTAAAATACATTAAGCAAAAAGAAACAAGAACTGACAGTCAGAAGCTATATAATTTCCCCTCTAAAACCGAACGTTTTAAACACAGTCCTTTAGTTTACTGTATATACTTAAATAATTCTAGACTAGTTGGTTAGGATCATCATTTTTAAAATTTTATCAGATAATGTACAAATAGGTATACATTAGTAGTTTTTATACATATTGTAAATAGATATAGATTAGTAAAACTTTAATTTTAATGAATGACATGTAAATATATAGAATATATACCTTTTTTATACCCAAATTTGTAAACACATTGTAAATTAGCGTAACTACTACTAAATGTGATAATAAACCATTACCATTACCAAACTAAGCTGCCTTCAGATCTATCAAACTCATGTATAAGGAGCCCAAATCATATAAGCCTTCTGGTTTCTCTTTGGGCTACCTTGCCACTATTTATATACTTTAATGTTTTTGTTGTTGTGTTCTTTGTTTGTTTGTTTTTTCGATTGTAAAGTTTCTAAATTGTGGTTAATAAATTGACTTGACTTGTTGCAAACTTGTTGATATTATCCAACTTGTAGCAAGGTTATTCCAACAAGTCCGATACAGTCTTGATATAACAATATTGTTAAAACTTTGTGTCATCATGCAACCTTGTAACATCCTTGTTATATCTTAACCGAATCGCACTTGTTAGAACAACCCTGTACATGTCAGATAATGCCATCAAGCTTGTTACAAGTTGTTAACAGCTTGTTCCAAACTTGTTGATATTGTCAAACTTGTTGGAAGGTCGTTCCAACAAGTCCGACACAGTCATGACATAACAATATTCTTACAACCTTGCGTCATCAACCTTGTAACATTCTTGTTATGTCATGACTGTATAAGACTTGTTAGAACAACCTTGCAACAAGTCTGATAATACCATCAAGCTTGTTACAAGTTGTTAACAGGTTCTAACAACTTTGTTGATATTATCAAACTTGTAGCAAGGTTGTTCCAACAAGTCTGATACAGTCATGATATAACAATATTGTTACAAGCTTGTGCCGTCAATATTGTTACATTCTTGTTATATCATAACCGTATCAGACTTGTTAGAACAACCTTGTACAAGTTTGATAATGCCATCAAGTTTGTTACAAGTTGTTAACAGGTTGTTCCAAACTTGTTGATATTATCAAACTTGTTGTAAGGTTGTTCCAACAAGTTCGATGCAGTCACGATATAACAAGCTTGCTACAAGTTAGTAACAACTTTTCCAACCTTGTTGCAACAACTGGGAACAAGCAGTGTGAAAACAACTTATCGGCAACTTGTGAACGGATTTAGACGTGCAGACCTGTAACAACTTGTTACAGTTCACGTGTATAAGAGCTACACGCGCAAAAATCTCACATCTTGTAGCAAGTCTGCTAAGAAGCCGGCAACAAGTTGTGTTCGCACTGCTTGTCCCAAGTTGTCAACAAGTTTGGAACAAGGCAACAAGCTGTTAACAACTTATGACAACGTTGCATGTTGATATTATCAGACTTTGTTACAAGGTTGTTCCAACAAGTCAGATACAGTCATGATATACCAATATTGTTATAATCTTGTGTCGTCAACCTTGTAACATTCTTGTTATATCATGACTGTATCAGACTTGTTAGACCAACCTTGTAACAAGTCTGATAAGGCCATCAAGCTTGTTACGAGTTGTTAACAGCCTGCTCCAAACTTATTACAACAACTGGTAACAAAGCAGTGCGAACACAACTTGTTGACAGCTTGTGAACAGATTTGTAACAACTTGTTTGCAGACTTGTAACAATTTGGGCGTTTTCTCGTGTGTACAGTGCATGTACATCTAATTCTAAATTCAAAATGTGCGCATAAGTAGAACTATTAAAAAGTGATTTCATATTTTCTTACCAGGTGTGGCACTTGGGTGATTGGATGTGTCCAATAAAATATGACCATCGGAACGATCTTGTTGTAATGTGCTAAAAAGTAACGGGGAAGAACGAGTCGATTCTTAAAAACTCATTAATAATTCATAAGGAAAAGAGAAAGGAAATCACTGCCGAGTCCGTGGTTTTATATGTGATAAAAAATCAAGTTCATTTACATAAAATTTAGCTTTGATTTTCTCTGCTTAGACAACGTTTATTTTACACCCATTTTCAAAATTACGCGACCTCCCTGAAAAATACTCTTACTTCAAATGTCAGTTTTATGTCACAAAAACTGCTAAAAATAGCAAACGTAAACAAACTGGCAAAAGACATTTTAAATCGTATTTAATACCAAAACTGAACAAAAATGAGCTAGATAACTTAGATATACAAACTAAAGCACTATACAAACCATCACAACAGAAATATGTGCCGAGAATAACTTTTAAAGTTTGAAAAATAACAATTTATCCTGGAATTTAGCTGTCCGTATAAAACACGCGCGCTAGACTATAACGATATGTTATGATTTTGTTTGTGCTTAAATTTTGCAATAATTCTCACTAAAATATCTTGAAAATCATTGTAAGCATCTTTATATAAAGCATATAAAGCATATACATCGACAAGGAACCGCAAACTCGAAGTTTAAACTTCGTGACCGAATGACATAAAACTGACATGTCAACTCTAGCATTTTCGTCCTTGGTCGCGTAATTTTGAAAACGGGTGTAAAAATTACTTTTCAAAGTTTTCAAACACTTAATCGCCTTTGGAAAAACTCACTCGTGCATGTGTTTTCCAAATTGCACTAGAAACCATACAATCCATACTATTACCTATACGAATTAACTATTTATGAATTATAAATTAGTTATTCGTTTCATCATTGTTGTACAGTGCATGTATATATTTGTATATTTTTATACGGTTTAAATATTGACAATATTGTAAATAATGATGTTCATTGTTTGTGATGTTACTCTGAGTGTATATCCACACCGGGCAAGCTTGAAAAATATGCCTGGCCCCGGTGGGAATAGAACCTACGACCTTTGGAATACTAGCCCAATGCTCTGCCAACTGAGCTACGCGGTCAGGTCGGTTCGAGTATGTGACATATGGGAACTGAGTCTAGTTCCTTCGATATCGATGCAATCTAGTAATTATGATTTTTTCTGTGTTGGTGTTGTGTACTACTACTCAGGTGAATATGATGTTTGTGATGTTACTCTGAGTGTGTATCCACACCGCGGGCAAGCTTGAAAAATATGCCAGGCCACGGTGGGAATCGAGTCGTAGGTTCGATTCCCACCGTGGCCGAGCATATTTTTCAAGCCTGCCCGGTGTGGATACACACTCAGAGTAACATCACAAACATCATATTCATCCGAGTACATTACACCAACACAGAAAAATTGTAAATAATTGTAGTTTTGATGCTGGATAAATATTAAAATTATTTCGTTCTCCTTTTGCATATATAATTTAGCAACATATTAAACAGTGTTTTTTCTTTTTTCATTTACGAAGGGAAAACTCCATACAAAATCCGACTATCTATGTATTGGAACCATTAATGCATTGTCTTTAATATTAAATGGACAACTTGCATGTCAGACTAATTTTTGATCTAGGCAAAAAAAATAAATTCCCTTAAAGAACTTATTAAAATTAGCAAAATTGGTAAATTTGGTTACGAAATGGTGCAAAATTGATGCGGAAATTATAGTCTTGCAAAGTTTGCAAATTTTGTATATGTTTGTATTGCGTGCGGAAAATGTTACCATTTTTTGAGCCGAGAATGGTAACAATTTCCGCACGTAACACAAACATATACAAAATTTGCAAATTTACAAGACTATATTTTCCAAGCTTTACAACATTTCGCAAGCACATTTTGCAATTTTACTAATTTCATTAATTGTTCTTTTTAACTGTGGTGTTTGATTCCTTTCTCCTTACTTAGATTCAAATTTAGTCTAACATGCACGTTGTCCATTGTAAGATTCAAATTTCAAGAGGGTCTTATATATAATTTCAATGGATTCTTTACTTCACAAAAAGTACGAGAAAGATTACCTCTTACGATAGTATTCTTTGAGTTCTTTGCGGATGTCTTGCAAATGATCTATGTATAAAACAGTCAGCAATAAATACGAATTTTGATAAGATAAATGTTTGATAATTTATTAATGAGTATTAGTATAATTACATAGGTGATTATTGAAAATTCTCCACGCTGATTGGTTGCCGTTGAGGTGATTATTACGCGATAATCACTTAAGCGATTTTCAAAATGGCGGCCGAAGCCGTTTTGTCAATTAAATGACGAAAAAATGTGTATTTTTTATTTTTTTCTAAATAATCACCTATGAAATTATACTAAAACAATTATTCACCTCAGGCTCGGTGATTATCGTGAATAAAAACCTCGACTTCGTCTCGGTTTTTATTCACCGATAATCACCTCGCCTTCGGCGAATAATTGTTAAATAATTAACATTATATTATTCAATCGAGTGAGACGCCAACAAAATCTTGATATTTACTCATAACCTAAACATAGCAGGTTTTTTTTCAGGGATTTTTTAGGGCCGTTAAACGGCCCCAAAAACTCAGTCTTGAATTGAGTTTTGAAACTCAATCTTCTCACCAAAGTTTCAGTGCAGTAAAAATGAAGTTGTTTGAGTTAAATTCGTGACGTGTGGAAATTAGTTTTATAAAATAACATGTATATAACGCGTATTCTGATTGGTCGAAAGCCGTGTTTGGATCAGGCCATCCAAACACGGAAGACTACCGTGTTGTTGTTATTTTATAAAACAATTACTTTATGGTTTCCGTGTTTGGATGGACTGATCCAAACACTTGGGAATGTTGCTCGAGTTAAGAAAAGCGGGCAAAATCACTTGCCTTCGGCTCACGAAGTGAGTTTAACTCTCGCAATATTCCCGCGTGTTTGGATCAGGCCATCCAAACACGGAAACCATAAAGTAATTGTATATTCGGTTGGAAACCCGACAATTAAGAAAAAATGGCTGGAATTCATCTCACAACTCAAGAAAAACTATGCATTCGCCATCTTTAACCAGTTTATAGTGTCCCTTAGTGCCCCTGCTTTAACACATTCCGTCT